TCATGATGTAGTTTTTCAGTTTTTCGTTGCAAAAATGTGTCATGACTTTTCCGACAACCCAATACACGTGTTGATTAAGAAAACTAAGGCAGTGTTTTAAGTCAGAAGCTGGTTATCATGGGGAAGCTACATGAATATATTTAATAACTTTTTTTTTAATGTCAGAGGCCTTATTGCACACACATTGTAACATGAGTATTTCAAAAGGTGGTGCAAACAAAAGAGCTTTGAGGGACAGCTGTACAGTTGCATGCCCAGGCAGGTACGCACAGATAGCCTTTCCCTACTTCCATTTTGTTGAGTCTGAGGCTAAATGATAATAGTTCATAAATAGATCTGTCTTAAGGATTCCATTTCAAATTTTTGCTATAACCTGGCTCCCACATGGAATTCCCACTGTAATTTCAATATTTCACAATACTTAGGAGGTGGGACCCAGAAGCTCGCAGAAGAGATTACTGCATAGATTTCTTAGAAGGAAAGGGAATTGTTACCCTAGTAAGTAATAAAAGAAATCATCACTCACATCCTGAATTATCAGTGAAAACAGAGTATTTAACCCCAAATAACTTGATTTCTTTTTCGGAGATTTCTTAAAAATGGAATATATTGAGATTAATAGGACATTCATTCAGTGTTTTCTCTTGGTATTAATGGTAAAATGTTTGATCAGACAAGCAAAATGCAGAATTGTAGGCAGAGTAGAACTACAACCATGGTTGCAATATTATAAAAAGTGGAAAACAAATGAAAATATTTCTAGATACAAAAAGTGTATTTTGTAAAGCTCTGACTCCAAGTAATTTATTTTCTTCATTACAAGAGCACTCCAGACCCCCTCTGTAGTTTTGCCTTATTCTATTCAGATTAGTCTTAGCTAAGTAACTATAAGTAAAAACTAAAAATTGCTAAAATTGGAGTTTTAAAAATTGCTTTAAATCTTATGTTACCTATTATCTTCCAAGGCCATACTCAAGTCTTTATCTTTTCCTACCTTCTCTTTCTCTCGTCTCCACTTCTTAACATATTGGGTTGTCAGAAAAGTCATAATGTATTTTTTCTGTTTTTCATTGCAAAAAATGCGTCATGACTTTTCCGATAATCCAGTAGTTTGAAGCTGCTTTTGGTACTTGAGATCTGTAAGACTGTGCCGTCCATCCCAGCTGATTGTAATTTCTTACTAAGGCCCTATTAACTTCAGATCAATGGCTTATTTGACTCACTTGACTTTTTAAAGGAGCTAGAATTACTTAACCTTCAAAGCATATGGATGGATGTATGTACTATCCCTTAATCTCTCCAACACTCAACCCATGTGTAAGGGTTGACTAGTGACTCTGAAGATTGAGTGGATAGAAGTGGTGTGGAAATGATGACAGTAGGAAAAATGACATTTGCGAGGTGGGGAGATAAATAAAAATCATACATTAGACTTTTTCATAATAATATGCAAATTTCCTATCCACCCTTTTCTCACTTCCACCTGCAATTAAAGATGCCAACCTTTCAGTTCAGAATTGTAGCTATCATGAGCTATTGTTACCATGGAAGGATGTTGCCTCTCTCAGATGTGTTGGTGAAGAATAAAGGGTTTTGTGGGAGGCAGCCTCTATGATGGCCCCCAGTGTTGCCTGCCTCCTCCTATTCACATCCTTGTGTAGCCTCCTCTCACACTGTACCAATGAAATATATTATAGCAGATGTGATGGTGTGTCTGTTGGGATGGAGTCCTAGAGAGCAGTTTCCAGGCTTTATGTGGAAAAGTACTGGCTCGGTTATTTAGCCTGCACATGCAAGCATTTATGTAACCAGCTGGCCATCAGCTGTAACCAGTTAGCCATCAGCCACCATTCTGTATGCTATGTAACTGCTGTGGCTATGTTAAAAAACGCGGGTGTTGTGAATCCTATTGGGTTGTTGGAAAAGTCATGATGTATTTTGTCTATGTTTTTCAAAGGTCATTTATTTATATAAAGAACAAAGATTAATCAATGATATATTGCCTGCTTTGTTCGATAACCTTTTGCCATCTTTCAGCGAGCTTCATAATTCCTCGTTCACAGAAGGACCTGTCTTTATTTGCGAAAAACTGAACAAAGTGCTCATTTACAACCTCATCTGAATAAACGTTATACCATGCAAGGAGTTTTGAAGAGAGTGAAACAAGTGGAAGTCTCGGCACAAGGTCAGGCGAGTATGGTGGGTGTGGCAACACATCTCATCCAAGCTCCAATAATTTTTGACGGGTGATCAAACTTGTGTGTGGTCTCGAGCTATAGCAATGGAACACAACTCTTTTACAACTAACAAGCTCTGGACATTTCTGGATGATGGATTCGTTCAAACTGTCCAATTGCCGACAGTCCACATTCGAATTGATTGTTGGTTCCTTGGTAGGAGCTCGAAAAACACGACACCTTTAAAATCCCACCACACTGAGAGCATAACCTTCCTCTGATGAATGTCTGCTTTCGATGTCCTTTGAAGCGAACCATCACATCAGGACCGAGACCGTTTGCACACCACATTGTTGTAAACAATCCACTTCTCATCACCAGTTATCAGTCACTTCAAAAAAGGATTATTTTCCTCATGTTTAATGAGCATATTGCAGATGTTTATACGCACCATTAAATGAACTTCTTTGAGTTCATGCGGAACCCAAATATCGAACTTGCTTACATATCCCAGCTTCTTCAAGTGGTCATGAATGCTTGAATGATGGATATTCAATGTTTCTGTAATCTCTTGTGTCATGTAACGTGGGTTTGACTCGATCAATGCCTTTATTTTGTCGTCATCAACCTCGGTGGGCCTCCCTGACGAAGGAGCGTTACTGAGATCAAAATCACCAGCACGGAATTTCATGAACCATCGTTGGCACTGATGTTCTTGTAGAGCATTGTCACCATAAACTTTATGCAACTTTTCACAAGCTTGATGCGCATTCTTCCCTTTATGGAAGTAAAATAGTAAAATATGGCAAAAGTGCACAGTTTGGTCTTCCATCTTCAACTTGTTGTAAAGTTTCCAAAACTCAACCAAATTGCTCAATTTTTTTTTTAGAATGAAGCTAGAACTGTCACCTGTCAAATGACATAGCAACAACATAGATGCGAATGACTCTAGTACTTCCAAAAATGAACTAGTGCCATTTGTTGCAAACATGCATCATGACTTTTCCAACAACCCAATAATATATATATAATATACTATATGTTAATTATATAATATATACCCAGGGGCGCCAAAAAATGTATACACATTTTTGGAAAGGAAAAAACTCTATTAAAATTATAATACTCAATATATATTGATAACAAAAGATGAATACAAGTTATGTGTATACATTTTTTGGCACCCCCATATATGTGTATATGAACATGTATATATGCACACACATACTCACACAAACACATTGAAAAACCTGAAAAACAAAGAATATCTTTAATTCAATTACCCTACTAACACAAACATGTATCTTTTTATAATTTCTGTCCACATAAAAAATATTTTTATATTATTATAATTGAAATATACAATTTTGTCCTCTTTACATTATAGTCACTTTTCCATGTTACCATGTAGGATTCACAGTTACCTTTTTAACTTGTTGAATGAGACTCCATTAAGTAAACTACCATAACTTAACCTCTAAATTCCTGCCAACTACTGAGGTTTTTGATATTACAAATACTGCTACAATAACATTCTCATGAATATAGTTTTTCTTTCGTTAAATTCTTTCCTTAGGATGAATTCCCAAAGCAAGTTTTTTGGAGTAACTGTGGAGTCTTTCACGACTTAGATTATTTTTACCAAACTACTTTCCACAAGTTTATATAATTTGTAGTGCCTCTGCCAATGAGCATAAACATCATCAGGTCCTCTCCAAACTTCAGTATTAATACTATTATCTTCCATTTATTGAATATTTACCATGTGTCAAGCACTAGTCTAAGTGCTTCACATATATTATCTCATCATCCTCACAACAAATCTCTGAAGCAGTTACTTTTAGTTAGTACTCTCCTTTTGCAGATGAGGAAGTTAAGGTTCAGAAAGTTTAAAAGCCATGTTCAATGTCGCATGGTAACTAAGTGGTAGAACATGGACTCCAACTCATATCCTGTCTAATACCACGGTGCTCTTCACCACTGCTTTATTCTTTTTTTCCCTAAATGATAATAGGTGGGAAAAGATGTATTCACTAATATTTTAACATGTAGTTCTTGATTACTAGCAAAGTTGATCATTTTTACATATGTTTGTTAAACTCTATATTCTTGTTCTGTTATTTGTTCATATTATTTTGCAACTTCTATAAAGTGGTGGGAGCAATTCACACAAGAGGTCCAGGTCGCTTCTTGATGACTTCATTGAGCTCCCTCTCTTTCTCCTCCTCCTTCCTGCCCAATATGTGCGGAATACAAAAATGTTCTAGAAAGTTATCATGTCCATATCTTTTCAACATTACTTACTCATACCATGTGGCCCTATTATGAGTAAGAGTGAAGACCCAATGTACCCTGAGGAGTGACACACTACAATAATTTCTTAACTGAACCAATTTGCCAAAGTCTTTGAGAAATAATCAATATCTCATTTGCCCCATTCTCTCCCTTTCTTTTTCCATCTTCAATTTCTCTTTGGCTAACTAAAATGTATAGGTTTTTGTAAACTTTTTATCCAAACAACTTTGGCATCATTCAAAACTTATCTCCTATAATGTATAGAAACATCATTAAAACCTCACCTATGCTTTACTAAGCAAAATCAGATTTACCTAATACATCTAAACTTTAATAATCCTTTTTGTTTGTTTGTTTGTTTTAGCTGAGCCATCCCGCCACCTGTTGGTAGCTTAGCAGCAGCTCAGCTCAGGCTGGGAATCAAACTGGCAAACCTGCTACTCAGAGCTCACACTTTTGAATGAGCGCTTAACCAACTGAGCCACTCAGCTGGCCCTAATAATCCTATTTTTAAAAATGCTCCATTACCTGCATTATGTCTTGCAATATACCCAAGTGCCCAGGCTACAGCCTCCTTCACTCCAGAGTCAAAATTTTCCAAGCATATCACCAGCCTATCCAGTGCTCTGTATTCAACTATCCTGAGCTATTTGAGGAGAATGTTTAGCAACTGCTTGTAACACAAAGGCAGCTGCTTTCTTATAAAAATGCTACAAGGATAAAACAAATAAAACTCAAAGTGAGTTGAGTACATATATAACCAAAAGTTAAAATAGACCAAAACTGATATAAAAATGACGTTACTGTAACAAAGCTCAACAGCATTTAAATACAAAGCATGAAAAACATCTTGCTAAATTATTTTTATTTTTTTGCATCCCATAGCTTTTGTTCAATGACTGAACTAAAACAATGTCTTACATTACATTTCAAATGTTTTATTCTAAAACATGCATTTATAAAATAAAATATTATATCTCCTACTTATTATATTTCCTACAAATTCATAAAATAATGAGATTTTATGTATCTGCATCACACTGAAAGGTATTTGTTTGACCTATGGGAACTCTTAGACTCAGCATGTGCAACTAAATTGTCAACTCACAAATTTGTTTCTTTACTTGCTCTCAGTCTCTGAGCATGGTAGGCCTTTCATGGCCTCAACTAATCTTTCTGGTGTCCTAAATTATCCTGAAGTAACAACCATGTTTTGAGATGCACTTACCAATCATTGGATAAACATAAAGGCAAAACACTCTTGATACATTTTAAAACTTATCCTGGCAAATAAACTGTCTAAACAGTGGGATATGTTATTTATCCCTTTTTAGAAATGATTTTTTTAAAAGGTAAATACAAATGACTTAGCATTATGTGAATTTTAAGTAATGCTTCATATTTATAATATTTCACATATATAAATTTATCAGACTAAGAAAATAAAACAATTTTCTTCATATAACTAAAAAATTATTTAGTAAGTATTTAGCTATAACACTCACTGTGGTTTTATGGTTCACATAATGGCACAGTAATGGCTCCTACCTCTTCTTTTTATTAATAGAACCCAGTTAATCCCCTATTTTAGATTCTTTGTTTCTATTTCTTTACAGTGACTACTTAAAAGTGACTGGGTGACTATAGCATTCATTTTGAAAGCATTCTGTTTAGTTAGTCTAAAATCTTAAGGTACAATAAAAATTATAGGAGAGAGAAAATACATCAAGTATATTTTCAACATATTATATCTCAAAACCTGGTATATATTGATGATATAAGAAATATGCTATGTTAGTAATAATGTTTTGATTTTGTACATTTCTTTAGCTTCTTAAATATAACATATATAGATATTAAAATATTTGTTGTAAAGTCTAATTTTATGTCAGTAACCAAGTATCAGTTAATTTATTGTAATAATTAGAATAGAGTTTTAAAGTAGCTTTCCACAGATTATTTTCTTATAATTGTGGGAAAATAATGCTGATACATTTCTTGTCATTAACTTAAGCTAATTTGACTTTTTATATTACAGAATTTTCAAATTCACAGGCAATTTATTGGGCATCAATAGTCACTACTAACTACAGTACCTATAATTCACACTTTCTGATCTCATTCCCCCTTTCTGCTAATTTCCACTTGCCCAAATTCCTCCTTTCTCTCCCACTCCTCACCAAAATAATTTCCTTTAAAAAAACAAAACAAAACAAAAAGCAAAAGTAAACCCGGAGGACTTTGTACCTCATAAAGAGAGGTTAAGTCTCCTGCAAGAAATGAGTTAAAAGACTAGTAAGTGAATGAGATAAAAGCTTGTAACATAAGTATTGCTGAAAACAACTTTTTGTTTGCCTAGGCCTTCATACGAGAGTATACTGTTCTAAAACTGATCCTATAACTTTAATATCCTCAATACACAGAAATACTGCTTTATGTATAATTTCATTAAAATTTTTAGTCTGTTTTCTCCTTATGTTAACAGTAATTGAGAAAAGCTGCATATCAACCCCAAAATAAAATACCCTAAAAATATTGTGCAGTTCAAAGAACTGAAGGTATATTAATATCTTAATAATTCTAATACCTACAAGCTTGCAACTGTACCAAAACTATCAAATTTTTAAAAATCCAAGGTAGCAACAACAAAAACATATAACTTATTTTTATTTTTAATCTTACATTCTGTTCCAATGAATAAACAAGCTGTGGAGGAATGTCGTCCTTCACAACTGCTTCTACTAGGTCATCATTATAATTAGCCAGTCTCCCAAGAGCCAAAGCAGCAGTCTGTTGAATTGTTGGGACCACATCCAGAAGAAGAGGTCTTAGCAAAGACACTACACCTGAGTTAAATTATGAAAGAACAGAAATCAGCAAAATTTAAATTAAAAAGCAAACGTACAATTCAGCAATGTATGCAAATAAGAAAATTAAGTGGAAAAATCAGCAAAACAAAAAAAAAATTATCCACTAAGAACTAATGTGATATTTAGAAGCATATAGCTGACCAAGACAAGAATAATACAACCTGTAATTATCAAAGCAGCAGCATAACATGGAAATAAGAAAGGTTTGGGATTAGATAAGAGTTTAATCCCTGATTTGGCAAATACTGGCTATGTGACCTGACAGGGCTGTCATGAGGAATGCAGAGAAAGGCTGTGAAGCACAGAATACAATGCCTACAACGTGGGGGGCGAGGGGTGGTAGATTTCCCCCCAGCCTTTGCAAATCCTATCTTTCAGGGCTCAGTTCAGGTCCTTTCCTCTCAATGAAGTCTTCTGCTTGTTTGTTTTTCTCTGATTCCAACTGTTGGGTCTTTTTTCTCATTCCAAGTGAACTTAGAGTTTATTACAGAAATTGAATCAGGATCTCTATCTCAGAGCCAGGGGAGCTAGGAGGGACATTTGGCCAGGACCTCACATTCATGAAGGGCTGCAAATCAGGTTTCTGACATTATCTCCAAATAAATACATTCTTTGAGATAAGGAAGTATATCATATTACTAGCTCTCATAATATTCACTCTAGGTTTGAATACATAGTAGGTATATCATCACCACAACAAAAATAATAAAAGTAGCTTATATTTATGGAGCACTTATATGCACACATTGTTTTATTATTTTTTTTTAGCTGAGCCATCCTGCCACCTGTTGGCAGCTGTTGGCAGCTCAGCTCAGGCCAGGAATCGAACCAGCGACCCTGTATCTCAGAGCTCATATTCTTGAGCGAGCTCTTAACCAATTGATCTGCTCAGCTGGCTGCACACACTGTTTTAAGGTCTTGTTTTCCATATTAACTCACCAAACTCTCATAACAAACCTATGAAGTAGGCCCTATTCTTATGTCTATTTTACAGATCAGGAAATGGAGGCTGAGAGAGGTTAAGGAAATCATCATACCACTAAGAAATGGCAGAGCAAGGTTAGAAATTCTGACATTCTTTTTCAATAATTAATAAATAAATAATATGTATTAAAAATTGAGGAGTGGGGAAAGGGGACAAATCATAACTGAATTTTGGTTATTTTATTGGCTATTCCAACTCTTTATATTAACTTTGCCTTACTATAAAATTTGCAAAATAGCCAACTGCTATTTGTGCTTTAATGATGGTGTTTTAGTCTAAGGTTACAAGAAAGGTAATGACAGAGTTCAAACTGGAACAAAGTTCCTCTTGACTTTCTAAACTTTACACAATTTACATCAGGCTTTTCAACTTGATGTTACTACATCTTTTCAATAAAAACATACCCCAGTGATCTATAAAAGCAAATATTACTAATATCCTTTCATAATGTTATATCCAGAAACATTAATTAGAATAAAAGGAAAATATTTACAGTAACATTTAGGATTAGACAAAAATAAGATAAATAGTACCACCAAATAACATAAACAAAATAATAATGATGTTTATCACAGATACATTTAATAATGTGATCTGTGGCTTTTCATATCTTCCAATTTCATTTAGTGATCATTTTTATATCTAAGTTGGCCTCGTTAGTCATTTACATAAGGCACAGTTGCAAGTTTAAATCCCACTCAGGCTAGTTAACTTTGCAGCCACAAAGCCCTCCTACTAGTGCTCATGCCATAGCTGCTGTGAAACAAATCACATGTCTTTGCTCGTAAGTGTTGCTTATACTATTATCTATATTTGAAATGTAATTGGGAAATCAATCCATATTGGGTTATTCAACCTAGATATTTTGAATTAAAATCTCAAGAAATTTGAACCTTTGTTAAGAATTTGAAGAATGAATTCATCTGTTTAGATCTATAATATTTAAATTATAAATGTTTACTATTAGTATAGTATTTAGCTAATATACCAGAAGTCTCCCAATTTTGGAAAATTTCAGTTTGTAATTTTAGCAGTAAAATACTTTACACGCCAAAAGATATTTCACTTGTCCATCTACTCGAAGGAATTTTCTGTTTTATGTGTTTTTCTCCTCCATTTCTCTACTGCATCTGGCCCAGGAAAAATAGTGTCAATAAAATGACACAATTCCGGGCAGGCCGAGTGGCGTGATGGTTTCGAACTGGCTTGGGACGCCAGAAGGCCCCGGTTTGGATCTACATATGAGGGCCAGTGACACTGCCCTCTACAGCTAGGATGCTGAACAACAGCTCAACCTGGAGCTGGGCTGCTGAGAGTCGCCTGCAACGGCGTAGGCTGCAGCCCCTGCGGCAGTGGGTCGCCATGGGCTACCGTGTGTAGCCAGCAGCCAGCGTGAGTGGCCGTCCAGAAGCTGGCGACTGATCTGCCTCTCCCGGGAAGAGCGCAATGATGGTGCCAACTTGGGCCAGTGAAGCAACGTCCTCCACAACTAGACTGAAGAACAAAACGACAGCAACTTGTCTGTTCCCCTTCCCCAAATTCCCCAGCACTGTTCCCATCCCCCCAATTCCCCAATGAAAATCTTTAAAAAAAAAATGACACAATTCCTTTCCTTCAGTTTCCTTCTATATCCAAGTTAGGTTTCTACACAGATGCTTCTGCTCTACATACTTTTCCTATATTCCTTAGTTCAGACAGTAGCATAATGAGGATTTTGAAAAATATTAAATCTCTGAACCTAAAAAGTAAAAGATAAAGTTTCCATTTGAAATGTCTTTGTTTGAATAGACATTCTTATAATAGAAAACGTTGCCCTTAATTTCTAGTCCTTGAATTGCCTCTTAGTGCTTCATAATCATGAGTCCCCAGGGACATGTTTTTTAATCTCTTATACAGATTAGGCATGGAGAGTTTGTTATTCTAATTATAGGTTTGTCCTAAAAATACAGATAATGATGGGGGAGAGGGGGAGAGAGAGAGAGAGAGAAAGAGAAAGAGAGGGAGAGAGGGAGAGAGAGAGAGAAAGGGAAGAGAAAAGAAGTATATATAACATAAAAAGAAAACTTTCCTTACCCACCTGTCCATTAGGAATCCATAGTGACTGATCCTTGGCGAGCAAATGGATGAAAATTTAGAGTCCATAAATTACAGCAGTCTGAATAGTCGCTGCATATCTGATACACAAGGTCTCTAAGGGAGCAGCTAATGACCTCATTGGGGTCTCCACTGAAGGATCCAACATGTACTAACATCTAATATTAAAATAATAATTCATATATTGTACTTTAATATCTATAAAACAATCTGTCTACTCTATACAAACTAATAAAATGGTGTGAAATTATTTCTGAAATTTAAATTCTAGGATAAATCTTTATAGTTCCTCCCTCTCCCCCAAATTTATAGCTTTAAAGTTCCTTTTCCATTTTTCTTGTTCCTGTGCCATACTAGTGACATTGCTGCTAATACCTACACTGCAGTCCAGTTATGCCCAAAACAAAAACAATCTTGCTGATTATGTTCACAGTCATTTATTTAAAAACACAGATCAGGGTTTACCAAGTGGCAAGGAATAGGACTACACATGAGTTAAGGCAGCTCCTCCTCTCAAGAAGCTAATAATCTAGTGGAGGAGATTATAAAATAGCATCAAAATAATCACAACTCTTTCCTTTAATTCCTTTTAATGCAACATATTCGTAATACTTTGATTTTGCATGCCAACTGCATATACAAGTCAGGAAGGAAATAGCAAACATTTCCAAAGACAAAAATATTATCCATTAAGTCTCAGTTTACATGTATATAGTTTATATACATGTTACCTCAGTCTTCTGTTTAAAAAGATATTTAACATCTCAACTTTTTAATTAAAAACAAGTATCTAGGTGGGTGGGGTAAAAAATAATGATAAAAATAAATAAGATAAAAACAAGTATCTACAAACTGGGCCTTTGGGCCCATTTAAGTAATGGTAAAGATTTCTGGTTTCCCTAGTTACTTATCCTCTTTGTTTTGTTTTTCAATTTTTTAATTTTATTTATTTTTATTGTGATAAAACATACATTACATAAAACTTGTCACTTTAACCATTTTTAGGTGTACAATTCAGGGGCATTAAGTATAGTCCCAATGTTGTAACCATCACCCACTATCATTTCCAAAACTTTTTCATCATTGCTAAAAGATACTCTATACAAATTAAACAATAGCTTCCCATTTCCCCCTACCCCCAGCCTCTGGTAACCTCCATTCTACTTTCTGTCTCTTTTAATTTGTCAACCTAGATATCTCATATAAATGGAATCATATATTATTTGTCCTTTTTGTCTGGCTCGTTTCACTTAACATGTTTTCAAGGTTCATCCTTTGCAGCATGTATCAAAATTCATTCCTTTTTAAAATGAATTATATTCCATTGTATGTATACCACCACATTTTGTATGTTCATTCATCTGTTGATAGGCACTTAGGTTGTTTCCATGTTTTAGTTATTGCATATAATGCCGTTATGAACACTGGTGTACAAGTATAAATTTGAGTCCCTGCTTTCAATTCTTTTGAGTATATACCTAGGAGTGGAATTGCTGGAGCAAGTGGTAATTCTATGTTTAACTTTTTGAGGAGCCACCACACTGTTTTCCCCAATGGCTACTCCGTTTTACATCCCCACCAGCAAAGCACAAGGGTTCCAATTTCTCCACATTCTCACCAACGCTTATTTTTTGTTGTTGTTTTTTATAATAGCCATCCTAATGGGTGTGAGGTAATATCAAACTGTGGCTTGATTTGCATTCCCCTAATGACTTGTAATATAGAACATCTTTTCATGTGCTTATTGGCCATTTGTATATCTTCTTTGGAGAAATGTCTATTCAAATTTTTGGACCATTTTTTAATCAGGTTATTTGGTTTTTTGTCATTGTTGTTGTTGGATTTTAGGAGTTCTCTATACATTCTGGATATTAATCTCTTATCAGATATATGCTTT